ACCTTGATCGCCGTGACGTTTTAGCGGTCATGGCGAGGCTCTTAGCTAGCAACAGGGGTGAGAAATTATTTAAATTTGTTCGAAATCGTGTTTCTCAGACACCAGACAGATTCCCGTCTCTCTCTCTCTCTCTCTCTCTCTCCCTTCCTTTCTCCATAAAGAACTGTGAGGCGGGATTACGTAATAGACTAACAAACGCCAAATTATTTCACGCGCATCGGTAGAAATCGTTGCCAACTACGTGCGAAACGCGCGGACCGCCGTCGCCGCCGTGTTTTGGCGACCAGGCGCGCTGTAACACGAGAAGCTTTTGGCTGCTATCGCCGCGACTTTCCTGCGGATTTTTCAACTTTCTTCCTTTATTTCAACCGACGACATCGCTTGACATTTAATTACGAAACATCGCGTCACCACCTCCTCCTCCTCCTCCTCCGTTGCGAATCTTCTTCCAGCCGTCCTCCCGCCGCGTGCACGTTCTTTTTTATTAACGATCGTTTGTTTATTATCGTTTGCCAAAAAAAAAAGAAGTAAAAAAAAAAATAAAAAGAAGAAAAATGCAAAGAATCGTATTCTCAAAAATAGCCGTGTATAATCGATGATGAATGATGGAAATATTTTGAAATATTTTCGAATCATCGAGCAGCTGTCAACCAAGGAGTTGGCCACGAATATATATATATATATATATATAATTTTCGGCCTCTCGTCCGAGTTACGATGTATACTCTCGAGGACTCGTAGAGGGAGAACGATCGGAAACGCGCAACCGGATTCCGTTTTCATCGATGTTCAACAGTTTTATCTCGCGATCGACATTTCGAACTTGGCCTTCTTAAGCAGCACGTGCTCCGTTTATTTTATGAGGCCGCAAATACGACGTCCGGCCGCCCTCGAGGTTTCTCGGAAAGGAGAGAAATATGAGTCTGACGGTGTCAAACGGCTCCCAAACCAAAACGAATTTACGAATTAATCTCGATTTTAATAAGTTTTAACTTTCGTTTATGAACCGTCGTGTTCATCGTCGCGTTTCCTTCTAACGCGATTTATTGGATCCGCGGCAGAATAATCTCTGCGACGCGATTTTGCAACATCGTGAATTTTATAAAGATTTTATATATATATATATATGTATACACATATACATATGCCTGGTTTACCTTTTCTTCGCATCGACGATTATTGCCAATGTATTAACCGGTCGCTTAACACACCGATCTATTTAAAGGTTACGCTTATCTATCGAGTGAACACGTATACGTGGACTTTTAGCGATCTGTTTTGCATACTGGGATTTTTTTTCTTTTTTTTTTCAACGGATTTTTTAAAGGAATCGGACGAAATCGAACCTGTTCTCTGAAACGGAAGAGGAGGAGCGGGATAAACGGGATGGCGATCGTTTTTAAAAATCGGCGCGATCGAAAACGTTGGAAAAGAGAGGAAAAAGAGGAGGGGAGAGGAGGAGGGAGAGAGGCGCGACGCGTCGCTGGTAATCCGAGGCAAATTATTTGGGCGTTCTATTTCTAGAAGGTGCCTTTGCGAAACGCACGAGCCGGGTCGAGCCCCGCTCGCGAAGACAACGACGAAGACGAAGGCAATGACGAA